CACAAGTTTAAGGTCTGAAACCTATTTCGATCCGTCATTTGCACCCCCCTGCACGTGCACGTGGAGAGAGCCTCTATGCTACACATTATTATACACTTTCATAGTGTAGCCATATATAAAGTGGTTCTAACTTTCATAGACTTCTTATGTGGGATAAACTTAAATTTAGTTTTCCCTCCAACATAAACTATACTCCAATTGTCCATTTTGAACTCTAATTTCTTATTCACTGAGCTTTATTTTTGGCAAGTAAATACATGTTTCGATGTTCTCACGAAGGAGAAAACAAATTAATGTTGATATTCCAAAATAAGTAAATGGGTCCCACTCAAAATTTATGCTAAAGTCAGCTATTTCCTCATTTTTTCCAACAATCTTCCACATGAATGAAAATTGGGAGACACAAAACGTGAAACAAAGGCTTGGTGATAAAGTTCAACGGTTGAAATCTGCATAGGATAGGTAGGTATTACCCTTTGAACTTCCCCTGTGAAAGCATATTTACTTTACTAGCTAACTAGTAGACGCGCTGTCTTTGAACTGTTCTGCCGTTTATGTAAATGATGATATAATCCACACATGAATCTTCCTAACACAATTTAGTTCTCATTATTATGTTCGTTTTTTTTGCCATGAACATATGTCTGGTTTTGCGAGAGTTCTTAAGAATTGAGCCCCACACAATTCTCTTAGAAGTGGCCCCACTTCTCTCTCGCATAGGTGATTAACATTCACCCCACAGTGATTTAATTAAGTCTTTACAATTAGGTTGTCCCTTTGAACCTAGATCTTGGGATCTCCAACCATTTGGTTAGTGGATCTACAATGTTATTATTTGACCTTACATAGTCAATAGTGATAACTCCAGTTGAGAGTAGTTGTCTTAAGGTATTGTGTCTAGGGATGACAACAGTTCGGTTCGGTTCGAGGTCGGTTAGGCCAAAACCATAACCGCACCACCAAATTTTTGGCCATACCAAAACCGCACCATAACCACGTAAGTGGGTTCGGTTCGGTTAATAACCACGAAAATAAATTATTTTTTATAAGTTCAAACTCCAATAGTCAAATTGAAAAAAAAAATTATGAAGAAAAGTCAATAAAAACAAAAACATAATACTAAGCCAATTTAGCAAACAATATCCCAACTTCCAAATGAAAAATTCGAATTTAACAAACAACATTGTCAACATACGTCAAGACTCTCATTAGCATATGTCAATCTTCATTCTTCCCCACAACTCTTACTAGCATAGGTCAAGAGTCAAGATTCAAAGTTGATTCCAATATAGTAAATAAGAAATAAAACTTAAGCTCTCGCAAACAGATATATGAAAAATGAAAGCTGAAATAAAAAAATAATTCTTCCATGCTGGATTGGTAAATTACCAAGTTCTTGCAAACAATATAACCCAAAATATATGTTGAATTCTGAAATTTCATTAATAACATCGGCCAAAAGCCACATTAATTATTCAACCAAATTAATAATTCGACTCTCTATTTCTTATGAACATAGAGAAACTGAAGAATGCATAAACTAGCAAGCAAAACAGACTAAAAATCACATTTTTCGGGCCACGCATCATATATTTAAATAATATTATAAAGAAAATGCAATCAAGTATAATGTATCTGAGTTTTTTTGAATTGCACAGGGAAGATGGTTTGAAGCCAATAAACACAGAACAACTCAGGAGTGTGCTCACAAGATGGTAGACTTCGTTGCTGATTACTACAATTTGAAGCTAATGTACATGCAACTGAGCGCCGGCGGATCTGATTTGGTTCATTGGTTGAGTGGACGAGTGTTTTGTAAGTTTGGTTTCCAATTTTCAATTTTAACGTGTAGGGTTAGAGTTAGGTCACTGAGTTAAGGGTTTACTAGTAATGCTAATTGGGCCAAAATTTTGGGGAAGCCCAATTGTCAAAATTGCCCAATTAATTTTGAAAAATAATGGAAAACCCAATTGCCCAATTAATTTTTTTTAACGGGTAATCGGTTCGGGACAGGGCACCGTCGCTAAATACCATACTCATCCCACCCCAAACCGGGTCATTAAAATCAAAATCATAACCACCCCGTTGCACCATTGGTTCGATTTTTTTTGCTCAATTCGGTTCGGTTAACCGCGATTTTCGATTTTAACAATTCAAATTGCCATTCCTAATTGTGCATACAACATATATGCCTAGACTTACCATTGTACATGTTACTTTGTGACATTCAAATTGCTGATTAACAGTCACAATATATGCAAATTGCTGGCACAGATTCCACTCAATCTCTTCACCACATTTATCCAAAGTTATAAACTCAGATTCCACGGTAGATCTAGCTATAACGATTTGTTTAGAGGATTTTCAGGATATAGCTGCACCACCCAATGTCAACACAAATCTACTAGTGGATTTGGAGTCTTTTATATTAGATATCCAATTTACATCACTATATCCTTCAATGATCGCTGGATATCTGGTATAGTGTAGTCCAAAATTACGAGTATATCTTAAGTACCTTAGTACTCTTACTATTCATTTCCAGTGATCAACTCCTGGATTACTTGTGTATCTATACTAACTGTGTATACTATGTCTGATCTTGTACAACTCATCAAGTACATCGAACTTCCAATAATTCTAGAGTATTCTACTTGAGAGACACTCTCACCTTTGTTTTTAGATAGATGCTGACTCGTATCTATTGGTGTTCTATCCATTCCAGTACCATCCTTGCTGAACTTTTTTAGAATTTTGTTCACATAATGTGACTGGCTTAGAATGAGTCCATTTGATGCAATGCTAATTTTAATTCCAAGTATGACATCAGCTAAACCCATATATTTCATGTCAAACCTTGAATTTAACATATTTTTAGTGGATTTAATAATCTTATTGTTGCTACCAACAATAAGCATGTCATCAAAGTAAAGACATAAAATGACATAATCATTTTCGGTGTCTTTGACGTAGACACATTTGTCACACTCATTAATCTTAAATCACATTCCATCATAATATTGTCAAATTTTTTGCGTCATTATTTTGGAGCTTGTTTCAAGTCATACAACGACTTCACCAATTTACAGACTTTCTTTTCCTGTCCTGGTGATGAAAAACCATCGGGTTGTTCCATATAGATTTCTTCCTCTAACTCTCCATTCAGGAAAACAGTTTTAACATCCATTTTTGATGTACTTCAAAATTTCGTAGAGCAGCAATCGCAAGTATCATCCTAATTGATATTATTTTCATCACTGGAGAATATGTGTCAAAGTAATTAAGGCCTTCCTGTTGTCTGTAACATTTTATTACTAATCCGACCTTATACTTTTCGATAGTTTCATCTGCTTTCATTGTCTTTTTGAAAATTCATTTATAGCCTAGTGGTTTGCTTCCTGGAGGAAGATCCACTAGCTCTCATGTATGATTTTGTAGTATAGAATATATTTCACTTTTAATGGTCTCTTTCCACTGAGGTCCTCTGAAGAGTTCACGGCTTCTTAAAAGTTTCGAGGTTCACTTTCTAGCATATAAGTCAGAAAATTAGGACCATAAGATTTTTCCGTCATTTCCCTTTTGCTACGTCTTGGTTCAAAATTAACCCCTTCTTCTAATTCTTGATCTTGGTTACTTTCAACCATAGTCTCATGTGTTCGTTTAGAAGATCTTACTTCCTCTTTGGATAATACATGTTCAAAGAACAAAGCATTTCTCGATTCCATTATCGTGTTTTTGTATATGTCTGAGATTTTAGATTCATACACAAGAAATCGATAAGCACTGCTATTATGTAATAGCCAATGAAGATGCAATCTACAATTTTCGGGTTTATCTTTACCTTTTAGGTGTTGGAACGATTACTTTAGCAAGACACTCCATACTCGTAAGTATTTATAGGAAGACTTTCTTCATTTTCATAACTCACAAGGAGTCTTTTCCATTTTCTTTCTAGACACCTTATTTAAAAGGTAATTTGCTGATAACACAATTTCTCCCCACATGTTTTGAGGTAACCCAGAACTTACTAACATTGCATTCATAATTTCTTTTAAGGTACGATTTTCCTCTCAACAACACCATTTTGTTGCGGTGGTTTTATGTATGATTTCGTGTTGTGCACAGAATTCAGCAAGTGATGCTTTATACTCGCCACTTCGATCACTTCTCAACACCTTAATTTTCTTATTGAGTTGATTTTCAACTTCATTCTTATAGCGAATAAATTTCTCTATAGTTTTGTCCTTATTTTTAAACAGATACATATAACAATGTTTTGTGCTATCATCGACAAAAGTAATGAAGTACTTATTGCCACCTCTTGTTTGTACAAGTTTCAAAGCACATACGTCGCTGTGATTTAAATAAAGTGATCATGTATTCCATTCAATTGATTTAAAAGACGACCTTGTCAATTTTGTCTAAACACAAATTTCGCACTTATGGTTGGAATCAATGTGGAATGCGGGTATGCAATTCAAGTTAACTAGTCTACGTAAAGTATCATAGTCTACCATGCCACAATTTGGAAGATCTTTATTAGAGCAAACATGTCCCGTAGCACCAGTGTCAATCCACCACTCTTTTGGGTTAGAACTCACCATATTCACTTCAGAAATGACAGCTACAAGATTCATTTCAAATACATCATGTGCAATGTAGTCAACCACATTTACTTCTTTCTTATTATTCTTCTTTGACAATCTGTACCCCAAAGACTTGTGGCCTACTTTGTCACAATAGAAATACTTTCCTTGAAATTTCTTCTTAGAAATGCCCCCTTTCGGTCCCAGCTTAGCACCTTTGCTACCAGATATCCCAGGCTTGTTCTTGAAGGTCTCAAAACTTTGATCGTACTCGACAACATTGACTTTAGCCACAATATGATTGAACCCTTTCTTTTTAGAACTTCTGTTGTCTTCTTCAATTCGAAGTCTAACAATCAGTTCTTCGACGTTCATTTCCTTTCGCTTGTGCTTAAGATAATTCTTGAAATCTTTCTACGTGGGTGACAATTTTTCAATAATTACTGCCACTTGGAAAGTTTCACTCAAAATCATCCATTTGGCATGAATTTTATCAAGAATCACTTGGAGTTCTTGCACTTGACTGATTACTGTTTTGGAGTCCACCATCTTATAATCTAAGAATTGGCCAACAATAAATTTCTTGGTCCCGACATCCCCAATCTTATTTTTTCGATCCAACGACTCCAACTCCTTAACAGTTTTCAAAGTATTATACAAGTTGTATAGCGATTCTACTAAACTGTTCATAATGTAATTTCGGTATAAAAAATTTGAATGTTTCCACGCATCCAGTGAGCTGACAGCTTGAACATCCTCCTCACCCTCTTTGAGTTTCAGAGCAGATTCAGTCAAGAACCTCGCAAGATTCAAGGTGGTCAGGTAAAACAACATTTTCTGTTGCCACCTTTTGAAATTCAATCCAATGAATTTATCCGATTTTTCTCCATGATTCACCGGAATAGTCACAGCATGACCAGTTGGTTGAGTCACAATCTGGTTCATAGTATAGCTTGGCAATTTAGCCACAACATTATTTGGCTCTTGAGGCACAACCAAACTTGGCCCTTGAGCTACAGTAGAACCCACAGACCCACAATCTGATTTTCAGTAGCCATAGTTTGTGTCATGTACATGTTGACTGATTCGGTTGCCATTTCTGATAATCAAACAAAAATTAGTTTTTGAAATCAATAATATAAGAAACTGATTTTTTTTCCAAATCTGTTTTAAGTTTGTTAGAAAAAATATTCGTTTAGAATACTGGTTTACAAAACATACCGTATATGCAACTAATATACCGGATATGCAGTTTACCATGTAGACAATAATATTTAGCAGATTAAATAATTTTTTTACTCACAACAAACAAAAATAAGTTATATAAATTACGATAAAATAGAACAGATAATCTAAATAGTAAAGAATAAAAAATTCAATTGAACTTTTAAAAAACAAATCGAGGTCTGTGTGAGCACAATTTCCTTAAAATAGATTTGCCCACTCACCGTAGGTGTTTGAGATTTAATTTGAGCGTATGTTTCCCAAAATACAACGGTAAATCAGTAGACTCCGAGCACTATAGATTTTACTCTGATGAACTACTAGAATCTGAACAATATCACCACCAAGACTTTTTTTATTTTTGAAATTGTTTTAAATTTGTTAGAAAAATATTCTTTTAGAATACGGTTTTAACAAATATCTGATTTACAACACATACCAGATATGCAACTTACCGTATATGCAACTACCAGATATGCAATCAACATACCGTATATGCAACTAACATACCGTATATATAACTAATATATCGGATATGCAGTTTACCGTGTAGACAATAATATTTAGCATATTAAATAAAATTTTTGTACTCACAAGAAACAACATAAGTTATATAAATTACGATAAAATAGAACAAATAATCTAAATTGCAAAGAATAAAAAATTCAATTGAACTTTAAAAAAAATCGAGGCCTCTGTGAGCATAGTTTCCTTCAAATAGATTTACCCCCTCACATAGGTGCTTGAAATTTAATTTGAACGTTTGTTTCTTAGGATACAACGATAAACTAGTAGAGTTCGAGCACTGCAAATTCTACTCCGACGAACTGACTTAATATCTGAACAATATCACCACCAAGACCTTGACAGACAGTAAATTATGTATACAGACAGGACAATTTCGTGCGTTTTGAAACTTTAATGCAGATTGTATTCTTCATAGCTGGAATAGTGGAAAAACGAGACTTTATATAGACTTAACCCCAGTAATGAAGAGTTAAATTTGTCCATTAACTCAATGACCATAACCATTAGAGTTTCAACAGCTTCAAACATTATTGGAGTTTTAGCAGTTTTAGAAACCAAAAGCTAGTTGTTGAAAACAAAAAAATTGGAAAAACGTAGGCCCTCCTAAAGAGCTAATTTTTGGTCAATTCGGTCCGACATTCGTGTACGTAGGTGACCCGCACACAATTTCAAGGTCCAAAACCTATTTTGGTCCATAATTTGCACCCCATGTGCGCGCACGTTGAGAGAGCATCTATACTACACATGATTACACACCTCCAAAGTGTAGCCATATATAAAGTGGTTCTTGCTTTCATAGATTTCATATGTGGGATAAACTCAAATTTAGTTTTCCCTTCAGCATATACCATATTCCAATTGTCCACTTTGAACTTCAATTTCTCATTCATCCGAACTTCATTTTTGACAAATAAATACATGATTTCGATCTTCTCGCAGAGGACAATACAAATTAATGTTGATCTTCCAAAATAAGTAAACGGGTCCTACTCAAAATTTATGCCAAAGTCAGCTATTTCCTCATTTTTTCCAACATTTTTAACCACACACTCTTTAATAAAATAATGTTATGCGTAAATTTAAAATATTTCCTTATTTTTTAATCACACATTCTTTATCAAATCACTATTTAAAAATGCATTTTTTGGCTAAAAAATGGGGCTCAAACAAGTTATGAATAATTCATACATATAGTTAAGATTGGTTTGATACGTGATAAAATAAAATTTAACAAGTTAGATTGTACTCTATCTTTTTTTTTTACATAGATATTGTCTTCTATTATATAATTTTTTCACATTTTACGAATCTCAAGTAATTTCGCACTACACACGATATCAAGTAGCCCGTGACATTATATCGAGCAATGCTCGGCAAGCTAGTGTCAAACATCGCCACTATCTAAAAAGCAATAATTCAAAGTGTATGTTATGTACATGTCTTTACAGATCCAAAAGAGAATTTGAAACAAGAAAGTCTGGTTAAGAAAGATAACAAGGAAAATAGTTGAGTCTAATGGAAGTAAATACTCGAGTCTTTTCTATCAAGTTCTTCATAATATTTTGTTCAACTAAGCGCTTGATTTGGAGAGATTTTGTAAAATGACTTTTTTTTTCAATGATGTGCGGTTAAAAAATTAAAAAAATTATAAATTTAATAAAATATGTGGTTAAAAATGATTTTGAGGAAAAATGATTTTGAAATTTTTTCCCAAGGCTGCAAGGCATCAACAAGATTGGACGCTTGAGCCGTCTTCATTGACTTTTTACATATATTGCAAAATTATTATTAAAACTTTGAGAATTTTCATACAGAAAATCACAAATTTCACGAAGTTGACTCGAGAGACCTCATATTTTTATCTCAATATTTCATATTTGATTTTAATATTTTTTTATTTTACATAATTTTGACTCACATAGTCACATTTCATTTTGAAACACGATAACCAAAGTTGAGTAATAGGTAAGACATTTTTTTGTCGAGCCATGCTATATGTACACTTTAAATTATATGACTATCAGGATCAATATATATGGAAGCCCAATAAAACTAGTTCTTTCTCCACTAAAATTGCATGGGAATTAATTCGAAAGAAGGGGGCAACCTGTCCATGGAAAAGATGACCGTGGCAACATCATGTACCTCAAAGAATTTCGTTTATTTCTTGGAGAGCTCTTCTACAATGCTTACCAGTTGATGAGGTGGTCCAAAATCTTGGGATTCCTCTAGTCTCTAAATGCGAGTGTTGTGCTCAGTCCTAGGTGGAAACCATTGATCACCTGCTATGCAATGGGGAATTGGCAACAAAAGTGTGGGCTTATTTTGCACTCCATTTCAATTTCTCTCTCCCTAATGTTACTACTTGGAAAGGCATGATGAACTTATGGGGCAAACACGTTTCTAGATCCTCACAGGTGGGTGTGCTTTGCGGCGTCACGCCACTTATCATCACATGGAATTTATGGAAAAGTAGATGTAAAGCCCGTATGGAAGGGTACCCCATCTCATGGCAGAAAATTGTTTGGCAGACCAAATCCATGCTGTCCCAGATCGCTATTCTAATCACCAAGGTCAGAAAAATTTCTGGTCGTGATGTTTCGTGTCTACGGTCCTTAAATTGTCTCGTTACTGAAGTTAAACATGTTAAGGCACAACTGATCAACTGGAAGAAACCAGAGGGCGATCAACTTAAATTAAATATTGATGGTGCCTCAAAAGGAAACCTAGGTCCAGCTGGTGGAGGTGGGATTTTACGCTACAGTAAGGGGTTTCTTCGGCTGGTTTTTCTCACCATTATGGTTCCTGCACTAACATGGTGGCTAAAACCCGTGCCCTTCTGGATGGCATTCGTATGTGCAAGGAGCTTAAACTAAGGAATATTATTGTTGAAATCGATTCAAAAATCATGGTAGAATGGCTTAACAAAGGAGCCTGCACACTATGGTGGCTATGGGAGTTTTGGGAAGAAATTTTGGAGCTAATCCACGTGCTAAATGCCCAGGTTCATCACGTGTTTCGAAAGGCTAATATGGCGGCTGATTTCCTTGCGAAAAGAGCAGCGATGGTTCGTCTATTGACATGTTTATTGGCGATGAGCTTCTGACGCTACTTAGAGGGATTTTGTATACAGATAGCTGGGAATTACCTTACTTTAGACGTTGATGTGTAATGAGTCGAATGTCTTTTTTGTATTCTCGGTTTTCGTCCGCCATTTGTGAGGACTTTCAATAAAATTCCATCTTTCAAAGAAAAAAAAATGTACACTTTGATTTACATTCTTGTGTCTTGACAGATTTTGATACATTGATTTGAAAAATATCATTTTCAATCAATAGCTAGATTTTTGACACATAAATAATGTCAACCAAAATGTACATGTTTAAATGTACAGGTCATTTTATCCTTTTTTGTCTCCGGTTAATGGTCAAATTTGCTCCAACTCAGCTGCCAACATATTATAATACATCGTTAGAGGTTAACAACAATACACCCAATTGATGGATTTGTTAGCATGGACCTCTCGATGATCAAGTCAGTCATCGGAAAAGCTTTTAAAAGCTAAACTCACAATACCTTAAAAGGAAGCAAAATGAAGAAGTGCATCTAAGTTATAAAATTTCTTGTATCTTTTCTTGTGAACAACGAACTATATATAGCTATTTGCAATAGAGGGTCATAACTGTCTTTTTCCTTTTTTTCTGAAACTTATGATGATGCTAATGGAGAGTTTTCACTTGGTTTTATAAGAAGTTTGATACAATTTAGTCGAGCCTTCCGTTACACATGCTCTATGTACACGTGTTGCCCAGTAAGAGGCCTAGTGGTTATTTTCTAATTAATTTTCTTGCTCTATTGTTATGACATTTTGAATTTTAATCCAAATTTCGCCTATATACGTGACAAGGCAAGAGTGGATCCTCCATACTCCCCAAATATCCATTCGATAGCAACTCAAATAGACGAAAGTCTATACTATTTTTAATGAAAAATCTAACGATAGGGGGTTTTCTGGAATTTTCAATAGATAGATGAATATAACGCAAGGAAAAATGAGTCCGAGAGGTTGTTGAATGGAAGTCAGAAAAAAATGCAAAATATATATATTCGTCCTGTTTACTGGTGACGTACAAGTATACGCATCTACTTTTCATCATCTACTTTGTTTTATGTTCCATTTTTTCTGCATTTAATTCAAAGCTGGCAGCGGTATGGGTAATTCATTTCTGTAATTTCTTGCTTCAACACATTTATCCGGGTCCAGTTTTTTTGTTTGCTTTTTTATTTTCTTGCAGTTCTACAATCTGTGTACTACTTTTTCTTCTTGAATTTTCAGTATTACATGCTTGTTTGGTCTGGGTTTATGGGGTTATTCATTTCTGTCATTTCTTGCTTCAATATAATTATCTGGGTCCAGTTTTTTTTTTGTTTGCTTTTTTATTTTCTTGCAGTTCTACAATCTGTGTCCAAAATATTCTTCAAACTATGTTAATAGTCGAGCCTTCCGTTACACATGCTCTATGTACACGTGTTGCCCAGTAAGAGGCCTAGTGGTTATTTTCTAATTAAATAATTTTCTTGCTATATTGTTATGACATTTTGAATTTTAATCCAAATTTCGCCTATATACGTGACAAGGCAAGAGTGGATCCTCCATACTCCCCAAATATCCATTCGATAGCAACTCAAATAGACGAAAGTCTATACTATTTTAATGAAAAATCTAACGATAGGGGGTTTTCTGGAATTTTCAATAGATAGATGAATATAACGCAAGGAAAAATGAGTCCAAGAGGTTGTTGAATGGAAGTCAGAAAAAAATGCAAAATATATATATTCGTCCTGTTTGCTGGTGACGTACAAGTATACGCATCTACTTTTCATCATCTACTTTGTTTTATGTTCCATTTTTTCTGCATTTAATTCAAAGCTGGCAGCGGTATGGATAATTCATTTCTGTAATTTCTTGCTTCAACACATTTATCCGGGTCCAGTTTTTTTGTTTGCTTTCTTATTTTCTTGCAGTTCTACAATCTGTGTACTACTTTTTCTTCTTGAATTTTCAGTATTACATGCTTGTTTGGTCTGGGTTTATGGGGTTATTCATTTCTGTCATTTCTTGCTTCAATATATTTATCTGGGTCCAGTTTTTTTTTTTT